GTGTGCCGGCGGGCGGGCCCGGCAGCAGCCGTGGGGGCATAGGGCTCACCTGCTTGTTTAAGACAGGAGGCAAATGACTTGGCTAAGGAAAGAAGTGAATGGCTTAAAGAGTCACCACGAGCAAGCAGAAGGATGAATAGTGAAACCAGGACATCTGATGGTAATCCTTTGCTTTAAACACTTTGGAAATTACTCCAGCTACAGCGGAAAGGGAGGGAGACATCAGTTACAGAATGACAGTCGTCTACATCAGTATCGCATAGTATCACTGAGATTCTGGGTTTGGGTCAGGGGTTTTGGTGCTTGTTTGGTTTGGTTTTGGGGGTTTTGTTTTGGTTTGGTTTTGTTTTTTAACACAAAGCTTACTACCAGCATAGATGTGCGACCCAAGAGAAGTCCTATGTGAGGAAGTTATAATTAATTGCTAAAGTTTTTACAGTATTATGAAGTGTGAGAAAGCAACATAAGAGGTTGTTATAAACTACATACATTGTGCATATTCTGTGGGTTTAAAATATTTCCACTTTAAAAATTGTTTTAGCCAAAATTCTCTGGTATTTTTCACAGGTATAAAATGAGTTTCGTTTTCTTTCTCTTTCCTTTTTTTTTTAACTGTAGTATTCCATGCCTGTAAGGAGCAGCCATTTCATTTTTTTGTGGTTACTATTTTTAATTTTTTGTTTTACTTCTCCAGAATAGCTGACTTCCCCCCTCCCCACCCCCCACAGCACCAACTGAGAGTCAGTTTTAAGTGGTGAAATGTATCGCAAAGCATTTCTTGAGAGCTAATGCTCTCCACAGACTCCCTAGTTTCCAAAGACCATCTGCTCCTGTAAAGCCCCATGCTGGTAGGCATGTGAAGAACAGTAATTTTTGTTTCATATGGGTGTTGTCAACCATAACTGTCACAGAGTATTGTGGTCAGTCAGCCCATAGCTTGTGGTCTCACAGATGGGCTTAAAATAAGCTCAGCTGAACCAAAATAGCTCCCCAAACAGTGCCTTTCATAATCATACCAGTTAAATATAGCAACATGTTTTTATACTTCTCTGACACTGTTCTTTCTTGCCATCAGTCATTCTTTTTTTACCTGCCAGGTTTGAAGGAGCAGCTAGTGTTTCAGATTCACTAAGCTGAGAACTGAAACCTCCTGCTTCCACTGCAGATATGTTTGTGTGTGCTCATGTAGTTATCGATCTATAAACACCCAAAGAGTGGGCTGAGTCTTCGGGCACATGCAGAATGAGAGGTATATACATGTGTATATACTATTGCCTTGAGGAATCATAACGAGATAGCTTGCAGTAAGGTGTCCTGTTTTCTGCCTGCCCCTCTTGAACCACTTGTGCTCTTTCCAGCTACTTCTCACCCCCCCTTCCAGTCCCACTTCTTGGGACAATGGAAGCTAGGAAGGTTTGGATCTATATTTGCTTCACTCATGCCTTTGTATTGGAATACCTGGTGATAAATTGATCATTTAACTATCTCACTGCACTCTTCTTGTTTAACCTTTCTCTCCCAGACATACTGCACCAGACATTCCATATTGATGAACCCTGGCAGAGGCCCTGCAGGATATCTCCAAAAGCGGTCTTTTACTTCTTTCAGCCCTGGGAAATCCACCCCAAAAAATGACACAGATCCAGATGCAGAAATGACATTATTGATCCTTAACACAGAAAATTACTTTTACCTTTTACTAGATGCCGTTGCAGCCTAATGGTGTCAGACAAAGGAGCTTTATACTATTACAAGCATGGACCCCCATAAACTAGACTAAAATGGGGTTGATACTCCTTATGTGTCAGATCTTGTTTCTTTAGTATCATTACTATTGTTCAACACTCCATAAACCAGCAATGTTAGTGAATTCTAAGCTGTACTGGGCTCGTAGAGGGAGTACTCCATCCAGTTCTGGGCTCCCCACTTCAAGAAGGATGAGGAACTTCTAGAGAGAGTCCAGAGGAGGGCAACAAAGATGATTAGGGGACTGGAGGACTCTCCTATGAGGAAAGGCTGAGAGAGTTGGGCTTGTTTAGCCTGAAGAAGAGAAGACTGAGAGGGGATCTAGTCAACATGTACAAATATCTTAAGAGTGGATGTCATGAGGACGGAGCCAGACTCTTCTCAGTGGTGCCCAGTGACAGGACAAGGGGCAAAGGGTACAAACTGGAGCATAAGAGGTTTCAGTTGAATATGTGGAAGAACTTCTTTACTTTGAGGGTGACTGAGCACTGGAACAGGCTGCCCAGGGGTGTTGTGGAGTCTCCTTCTTTGGAGATATTCAAAACCCACCTGGACGATGTCCTGTGCAACCTGCTCTAGGTAACCCTGCTTTAGCAGGGGGGTTGGACTAGATGACCTCCCGAGGTCCCTCCAACCCCTGCCATTCTGTGATTCTGTCCCTCAGTGCACTTGAAGGCAGAGATATTAGTTGTTTTGGAAGATATAAAGAAAGCTATCAATGTAGAGAGGAGTCTGATGGTTGTAGGGGGTTTTTCTTTACTTTTTTCTGTTATGTGACTGTCTGTTTCTTGCTCCTCCTTTTTTATCAGTGACCAGTTTATCACATGTCCCATCATAAACATGGCCAGTCACTGGGCTGCTGCCTCCAGAGGAAATGTCTTCATGTACCATGTACCTGAGAGGTCCTCACAGAGCAGGTAAGGAGATGCATTTTATTATGTTTCTTGGATTTAGAGTTTTCAAAAACAGGGCTGTCTGGGGACTCTGTGGAGTAAGTGGATAGATACAGGTATGAACAGGTTGGATTAGCAAAGGAGGAATTGGGTTCTAATAGATTATTTCTCTCTGTTGACTACATAGGAATGCTCTCTAAATTGAGTTTCCCTTTTCCAACTTACCTACCTTTGCCAGTTCCAGATAGCCTTTTAGATTTCTACTCTATATCTGATAAACATGCCACAAAGAACCAGAAGGTGGTCTAAGTCATTGGGAGCCCACAGGTCTCAAGGGAAATGGGGTCACATTTTCTGAGGACTCAACATTAATTTAACACTGCCCCCTTTTGAAATCAATGCAGTTGTACCACAGTTACACTGACGCCTTCAGGGCCTGGGTTTTATTCCTTCCTGCTCCAGCACCATGACTTGTGATCAGCCGACAGACTGTCTCATGGGAGGAGAAGTATTTTTGAACACAAGCATTTGCAGACTCAGGCTCTGTGTCATCCTTCGTGTTAGAAGCTTGCTTGAAAAATTTTTCACCAGGAGAAGCTGTATCATATTTACGTGTCTGTGGGAGATGCAAATTCCATGTTCCCTTGGGCATCGAACAAGCTGGTAGTCAGAGGCTATTAAGGTGACCTTCCCTGGTTTTATTTCAGACTGAGCTCCTCCCAGAAGTCAGGATGAGACACTGAGGTTTGCAGGCAGTGGTCAGCACCTTGGGCTGCTACGTGACATACCATGGTAGCTCCCGGGCCCTTGCTCTTGAAGGCTGAGTGATCAGAAACTGCAGTGAGAGCAGCCCCTCCTGTCCCCTAGATCCACACCTCAGGGCAGCAAAGCCCACAGGGGTGCTTAACTTCTGGCTGTTTCCTTGTGAGGGAGCAGTGCTTGTCCCCTGCTCCCTGTACTGCCCCATACCTCTCTCCAGGAAAGATTTCTGACACCCTTTCCTTTTTCTCAGGCTTTCTCTGAGAGGGCTCAGGGCAGGGACAGCAGATTCCTACTGGCACCATTTGATACTGTGAAGTTCCCCGTGAACTACAAGGGTTTTTTTTTTTCCTTTCCTGATAGCGTAGTGAAAAAGCATTCGAAAGAAACCAGCCAAGATCTAGGTTACAGACGAAGGCCATTATGCTGTGGTAACAGAGGCTCGCTTTCTTTTAGCCGAGAAGTTAATCCTCAGGGAGCCATAATTTCGCTGGCAGCTCCAGCGGGAATGTTCGCAGTGCTCTGTTTGGCTACCGATAGGCTCAGATAAGTGACTTTTACAAGGCTCCAAATAGGCCTGAGCTATGGTATGCCAAAAATCCAGCCACACAGAAAGAAAAATTGTGTTCTCAAATTAGCTAGCAAGTTTTCTCTTGCTTTGGAGAATGAGAGCGACCCAGCCGTCTATGATAAGATCTTATTTGAAAGTAAATGAAATAGTACTTATACAAGTTAGAGACACTGGCTTTGAGGCAGTGATTTTGAACGGATGAGAATTTCCTCTTCTGTCTAGCCCTATCTAAGATTTCCCTTGTGCTTGCATTATTTTGCTCTCCTTGCACTCTTCAGTGCAGTAACAATTCACATAGACTAAACTACACATTTTAATAATATTTATGTTTCAGTGGTCTTCTAAGCTAATTACTTTACATTTTAGTGCAAAACTTATTACTTCACTTTTTCATAACCCTCTTTAAAAGAACAAACAAAGCCAGTATGCTGTCTGAAACTTGTGGGAACGTGAGGCAGAGGCTCAAACGCCTTAGGCTAAGCTACTTGCAAGGAGAAATGGGCCCAAAGTGGTATGCTCCATTTACATTCTTATTCCTTTTGTCTTTATTTGTGCTTAAGTACCATTAAAACAAATGTTGTTTAGCTTGCAAAGGCAAGCACTTAAACAGAAATTGCAGAATTCAGCTTGCCCATGTACAGCAGGATCTCATCTGACACTAGGACGTGACTGGTTATGAAGTGATACCCTTGTTTTCCCAAGGGAGCCCACACCAGGTCCTTTGCTGAACATACGGCGAGTTTTTTGTTTAAAGATTGTTGTCATTCACTCTAAATGAATCCTTCCTTATTCTTCATCCCACTTTTGCCATGTGACCTCTCCCCCTCCCCCTTCCTACGCCCCCTCTATATCTTATACGTGCATTGCAGGCTGTCCAGCAGCCTCACCACGTGCCAATGAAGCGATGCTGTTGAGGGCAGGAGCTTCACGTGGGAGAGCAGCCTTAGCTGCTAAAAACTGTGAGAAACCATCGGTAATCTGAAACCAACAAAACAGTGTTTGGGAATACTATTGGCAATTTGCCCTACTGGATTAAAGCCAATGGTGTACATGGAACAGCCCTCAAGTAGAATATATAAACTAATCTTGGGGAAAGATCTGGCAACCATGTCACCAACTCCCAAGGGACTTCCCTAACCACTGGAGTAATGAGTCCTACCGGTTCTCAAGTTCTTCTTTGAAAACTGTGACTCTTCTTAGGAGGAGGAGCAGAGGCAAATTCTCTGCCAAATAACCTACAGCTCAGGCTGGAAGGTAGGATGTGTGGATTTGAACTTGCTCAGCAGAAGTAAGAACTGAATCTGGGACCCTGCAAACAACCTAGCTGTTAAATTCCTGACTAGAAGAACCCTGTTACAGCCATTTCTTTCTGTTAGTGAATGCAATAACCCACAGTATGTTTTGCACATAGTAGGTGTGTACAGGATATTCTGTGAGTAAACATAATGGATCTGATCCCCCTCAGCACACTGTAGCTGGAGGTACGCCTCATGAGATATTCCTGATCACTCATAGGCATTTAACAGAAAGACGATTTCTCAGCCTGTTTGATGGTGAATCACATCTGCGTTTGCTGAAATACAGACCTTTGCTTGTAAAAATGGAAATGTCTGTAGTATTATGTCCGTAGGGTAACGTAAGAGATAAAATAATGATTTTTGGTCTTTGGTGTCTAAATTCTTCCCAAGACCTCAGTTTACACAGGATATGGACCCTTCCCCCTTTGTGTCTGTTATCTATATCATAAAGATGATGATGATATTATTATATATTATATATAAGGACTAATAATAGCTACCTCACAGGGGTATTGGAAAGAGTACATTAAAGTGGAAAGAGTACATTATTGTGTTCAGATAACTACAATAGTGGAAGACTAGTTACTCTTAGATAAAATATCCTGACTGAGGAAATGGCCATTCACTAATTAAGATAAGGCACAGTGTAGCAACACATTCTCCAACTCCTACCCTGTCACCTCTCTCCTACTTCATGTGTGTCTCCCAAAATGTGTAACAGAACAGAGAGTTAAAATGCAGAGATGAAAAAGTACTGGTATTTCCTCTTGTTTCACATGGAGCAGCCCCTTAATAACTCACAGCAAGATAAACAAAAGGGAGAGAGAAGTCAGCCAGTAAAGACAGACCTAACTGCAATGATGCAAAGTAGTCAAAAAGTTACTAAACAGGGAGGAATTTTTACCAGTACAAGTCAATTAGCAAAAGTTCGTCTCACAGCTGGCTGTTTCTAAAACGTACGCACATACACACACATCCAAGCATGCATAGATACAGGGGTAGGATTAAAAAGGCCACGCTAAGCTGTTGTCTATGGTATATGTGGAAAATCACATAAAACCATGAACTGACAATTTTCATATAGATGAATGGATCTTGCAGAGAGCAAACTAATATCTCCTTCCACGTGGTAGCATTCTCCCCAGCTTGGCGTAACACCATGTCTGCTTTAGTCTTCAGTTCCTATTTGAATAAGGAGTAGGATACATAGCCAATTCCTGCATTAATGATCTGTGGTAAAAACATATACATAACCCAAATGCCATTTTCTCCGTCTCTTTTTGAGAACACTTAGGCCTTGGAGTAAACATTTATTCTAAACAACGCGGGAGGAATGTGACTGCTCAGCATTGCCTAGGATTAGTGGGGAGGGCTGGAGTATAGCTTCAGTTACAGTAAAGAAATGTGTGATAGGAGAAGCATGTTTTGACAAGGATAATATGATTAACTGTACAAAGATTTGCCTCGTTAAGCTTTCAAGAGGTTTCTGGGTGATTTTTGCATATTATATGAAGTAGCGCTGCTTGCCACGCTAGCATAGTTTCCAAGTCACACTGTGGTGCCCAGTGTGCTGTCTTAAAGATCGATGGATAAAAACCAGGGCTCTGCTCACTGGGGAGGCCAGATCTTCAGCTGCAGCAAGATGGCAAAGCATCATCATTGTCATTGCAGGGGTCTAACCTGAGACTTAATGAGGCTCTATCTTATAGTCATTAGCATTACCATAATAATTATTACAAAAGCTTTTGTTAACTATTGTACACGGGACAGATTCATCCAAGATTAATAGGCTGCTGTCTGTTTTGAGTCATTTTAGTTGGGGCTGACTGTACCTCCTAACTATGCACTCTTGTGTACATTGGTGTGAGTTACTAAAAGACTGCTCTGTGCCAGTGCTCACATACTTGGCTGGATTTTGATGACACTTTTTATGATTCCTGTAACTGAAGGGGAGAACTCCTGACTGATAAAATAAATGTTTGTGTATAAACCTATGCAACTATGCAAAGTATTTTCATTTTCTATTTATTATCTATCCTATGCTAATTCTGTCTGTTCTTAATTAAAGGGGATTTTTCTACTCTTTTGGTTTTGCAACAAGCATATCCCTGTCCTTTAATCTGTCCACCACTCATCCACTTGAGGCTCTCCTCCTGACAGTAGCTGTTAGTCCATGAGTACAAACACCTCATAGGCTGGGGGGCTGCAGAGTGCACTGGGTGCTGTGGAGGCAGACAAAGTTATGTCTCTGAGCTTCAGAGAAACTCATCTAAACACAGAAGGCAAGTAAGGCACCAGAGAGGTGGAAACATGAATGTGAAGATGGACGTGGTCTCCGTAGCTGGGCAGGCACCACAATCACCTTAGGCAGCGATGTACACTTGCTGCAACAACAG